CTAGCCAGATTAAGAAAAACGAAAAGGGAGAAGAATCAAATAGATGCAATAAAAAACGATAAAGAGGATATCACCACTGATCCCACAGAAATATGAACTACCATCAGAGATTACTACAAACAGCACTACTCACGTAAACCAGTAAAGCAGGAAGAAGTGGATAAATTCCTAGACACTTGTACTCTACCAAGACTAAACCAGAAGGAAGTTGAAACCCTGAATAGACCAATAACAAGGGCTGAAGTAGAGGCAGCAATCAATAGCCTACCAAACCAAAAAACGTCCAGGTCCAGACAGGTTCACAGCCAAATTCTATCAGATGTACAAAGAGGAGCTGGTTCCATTCCTTCTGAAACTGTACCAAACAATACAAAAGGAGAGAATCCTCACTAACTCATTTTATGAGACCAACATCATCCTGATACCAAAACCGGGCAGAGACTCAACTAAAAAAGAAAACTTCAGGCCAATATACATGATGAACATCGACACAAAAATCTTCAATAAAATACTGGCAAACAGATTGCAACAGTACATCAAGAAGTTTATCCATCACGACCAAGTAGGCTTCATCCTGGCGATGCAAGGCTGGTTCCACATACACAAATCCATAAATGTAATCTATCATATAAACAGAACCAAAGACAAAAACCACATGATTATCTCAATAGATGTAGAGAAAGCCTTCGATAAAATTCAACAGCCCTTCATATTGAAAACTCTAAATAAACTAGGTATTGATGGAATGTATCATAAAATGATAAAAGCTATATATGACAAACCTACAGCCAATATCATACTGAACGGGCAAAAGCTGAAAGAATTCCCTTTGAAATCTGGCACTAGACAAGGATGCCCTCTCTCACCACTCCTATTCAACATAGTATTGGAAGTTCTAGCCAGAGCAATCAGGCAAGAAAAAGAAATAAAGGGTATTCAATTAGGAAAGGAAGAAGTCAAACTGTCTCTATTTGCAGATGACATGATTATATATCTAGAAGGCCCCATTGTCTCAGCCCCAAATCTTCTCAAACTGATAAGCAACTTCAGCAAAGTCTCAGGATACAAAATCAATGTACAGAAATCACAAGCATTCCTATATACCAATAACAGACAAACAGAGAGCCAAATCAAGAGCAAACTCCCATTCACAATTCCTACAAAGAGAATAAAATACCTGGAAGACAACAAAGGATGTAAAGAACTTCTTCAAGGAGAACTACAAACCACTGCTCAACGAAATAAGAGAGGACAAAAACAGATGGAGAAACATTCTATGCTCATGGTTAGGAAGAATCAATATCGTGAAAATGGCCATAATGCCCAAAGTAATCTACAGATTCAACGCTATCCCCATCAAGCTACCAATGACCTTCTTTCAGAACTGGAAAAAACCACTTTAAACTTCTTATGGAATCACAAAAGACCCCACATAGCCAAGACAATCCTAAGCAAAAAGAACAAAGCCAGAGGCATCACACTGCTGGACTTCAAACTATACTACAAGGCTACAGTAATCAAAACAGCATGGTACTGGTAGCAAAACAGAGACGACCAGAACAGAGACCCCAGAAGAAACAACACACATCTACAACCTTCTGATCTTTGACAAACCTGGCAAAAACAAGCAATGGGGAAAGGGCTCCATGTTTAATAAATGGTGTTGGGAAAACTGGCTAGCAATGTCCAGAAAGAAGAAACAGGATCCTTACCTGTCACCTTACACTAAAATTAACTCCAGATGGATCAAAGATTTAAGCATAAAACCTAACACCATAAAAACATTAGAAGAAAACGTAGGCAAAACCATCCAGGACATAGGCGTAGGCAAGGACTTCATGACTAAAACACCAAAACCCATGGCACTAAAAGCCAAGATAGACAATTGAGATCTAATTAAACTCCAGAGCTTCTGTACAGCAAAAGAAATCATCATTAGAGCAAATTGGCAACCAACAGAATGGGAAAAAATTTTTGCAATCTACCCATCTGACAAAGGGCTAACATCCAGAATCTACAAAGAACTAAAACAGATTTACAAAGAAAAAACAAACAACCTCATTCAAAAGTGGGCAAAGGATATGAACAGACACTTTTCCCAAAAGAAGACATCTATGAGGCCAACAAACATGAAAAAATGCTCATCATCACGGGTCATTACAGTAATGCAAATCAAAACCACATTGAGATGTCATGTCACGCCAGTTAGAATGGCGATCATTAAAAAATCTGGAGACAACAGATGCTGGAAAATAGGAACACTCTTATATAGTTGGTGGGAGTGCAAAATAGTTTAACCATTGTGAAAGACAGTGTGGTGATTCCTCAAGGATCTAGAAATAGAAATTCCATTTGTCCCAGCAATCCCATTCCTGGGTGTATACCCAAAGAACTATAAATCGTTCTACTATAAAGACACATACACACGTATGTTCATTGCAGCCCTGTGTACAATAGCAAAGATCTGGAACCAACCCAAATGCCCATCGATGATAGACTGGACAGGGAAAATGTGGCACATATACACCATGGAATACTACGCAGCCATAAAAAATGATAAGTTCGTGTCCTTTGTAGGGACTTGGATGAATCTGGAAACCATCATTCTCAGCAAACTGACACAAGAACAGAAAGCCAAACACCATATGTTCTCACTCATAGGTGGGTGTTGAACAACGATAACATGTGGACCCAGGGAGAGGAGCAACACACACTGGGGACAGTTGGGGGAGGTGGGGGAGAGATAGCAGGAGTTGGGGAGGGGTAACATGGGGAGAAATGCCAGATATAGTATGCACCTAAAGTAAAATAAATAATTTTTTTAAAAAAGAGTATCTACCTCACTGAGTTGTTGAAAAGTTCAAATGAGTGTGTATGCATGTGCAGGTGTGTGTGTGTATAGCTGTATGTAAATGTACAAATTTCTGTATAGATAGAGCACTTAGAATAATGCCTGGCACAAAGAGGTCTCATGGAAGTGTTAGCTTTGCTTAACTAGGAAATTGATGAGTCTTTTCAATGGATTTATAATAAATTCCTTCTTAAATCAGATATTCTCTCCTATTTTTCATTTCAGCATTTTCTTTTTTTCCTTTTTCTTGAGCATGTGCTTTTGTTCTCCTTCTGAATCTCTTCTTAGTGATAGTAGCCGTGTCTATCTTTCTTGTTTGGTCACATTTTATTGTGTATTTTGAGAGATTTCTTCAACTTACTCTGACCTACTAATCTGAGGCTCAAAGTGTCTCTTCTCTAATTAATCTACTTAAAGTTTTCAAATGAAAAATAATATTTCCATTATGTAACTGAATCAACTTCAGCAGAGATTTTTCTTCAGTTGCCATCTGCCTTGCCTTCTGTGATGGCTGCTGCTTCTTCCTTTCCTTCCCTCTGGCTGCTGGATCTGCTTAGGTGTGATATTATTTCCTTTTCCTTACTCACTGCCCACCTGCTGGCATCCTTTAAGAAGCTGCATTACTAGGGGACGCTCAGAAATCCTTATGTCTGAGGACCTACAGTGCACCAGCCAGGGAGTTAGCAGGCTCCTACTAAGTCATAAGAAGGGAGCCTTTCTGCCCCTGGCCCTTCAAGTGGCCATTGTGTGGCTTTCCCAGCTTCATAAAGCAGGGGGGCCTTGGCCTGCGTCTTGAGCCTGTCAAGGTCCTCAGATACACTTGGTACAACAGGCCCTGCCTTTTCCTCTCCAAGGTCAATGGATCTCCAGGGTGCATGAAGCTGAGATCCTCAGCCAGATCGCTTAGTCCATGATCCTAGATGCAACTTGGATACAGAGGCTGAATCCTGTGCCTGCTTTATGAGTAAAATGTAAAACATTTATTTAGCAAGCATAATGTGTGACTGCTAATCAGTTTTAAGTTGAAGAGCTGAAAAAGTGGAAAGCTAATATATTTTACTTAGTCTTACTCATTTCTCAACTACTCACAGGCCTAATACAATACCTAATAACAAATGCTCACTGATATTTGTTCAACTAAAATGAAGAAAGCTGTTCAGTGCTTTTCCACTGAGCTTAGGAAAAACTCAAATCCTCACATTTGCTCACAAGGCCCTAAATGACTTGATTTCTACCCAGCTTTTCAATCTACCACCTTTCCATTTGTCTCTGTTCCCAGTCACATAAGATTCACCTAACTGTACTGAATGTGCCATGTTCTTATCCACCTCAGGCACTTAATATTTGCTGCTCACTCTGTCTGGAAACTTTATGATCAGCACCTTCCCATGTGGAGATCAGTATCATCCCTGTACTGCCCCACCTGAAATATACACCCTCTAATACAGACATATGCTCTTGTCCTGACCGTGATTGTAGCTAAAATCTTGGTCTTTGGAGCTCGGACACGTACTTTTCTTCATTGATTTATTTCTCAGTTAAGTATCATATTTCCAGGGAAAATGGACAACTCAGAAAACACTTTCTTTATTTTATGTTCCAATAATATATAGCCTCCTAAATTTTTATTTTCATAGAGTTTAGAAACATTTTAAATTGACCATTTTACTGTATCCTTTGCAGATTGTTTCACAGGGGCATGGGCATATTTAACTTTAAAGCTATTGCAGTCTGCCACACCCAGCACAATAGTACTTGATAGCCACTTAAATATTTGCTGGTGAAACAATGAAAAAGAAAGGGAAGAAAGGAAAAGAGACATGATTTTTTGCTATCAAGAAAAATAAAAATAGATCTCTTTAAATTTATTTAAAAGTTTTAATCTTCATTATAAGGTGGCATTTTGGCTGTTAAGCACATAAATTCTCAGTCAGACCATGATTTAAAAGTTAGCTCTGCTGTTTTAGCTGAGGATAAGTCACATTACTTTTGTAAGTTTCATTTTCTTCATTGGCAAAATGGGGATAATAATAGTACTTACCTTATAAGCTTTGGATAGAGATTTAGTGTAAAAACAGAACCATTTACCTCAGTACTTGAGCAGCTACTAAATTCTTAAAAATATTAACTCTTGTAATTACTCATTTACCTGAGGATCAAAAAGAAAATAAAGACGTCCGTTCTTCAACTGAAGTGCAAAATACTCTTCCTGATTGCCAGGTGATGCTGCAAAGACAATCGAACCTTCAGGCACCTTTGTTCGAAAGCTGGCCTTAATGCCTGGTAAGACAAGTGTGATCAGCAAATCAGTGCTGGGGTTTTGTTGATTCTTTCTGATAAATGTACATTTACTTTCATTATTATTTATGATGTAGTGAGTACAGTCAGGAAATTATACACAGCAATGTCCTGGCATGGTCTCGGCCATTTGGTTTTAAATATATCCCATTTTAAATGCCAATCAGTACTCGGAATCTTATGCCTGCATTCCTGCTAATCAATATATAATGAAGTTTAAATTTATGCAAAACTCATCAACCTAAAAAGACATATTGTCAACCTAAAATTGGATACTTAGAGTATCAGTGTGAAAACATTATCAGAGAGTCATAAAAATAAATGGGTTTTTGACACGAGTGAAAGAAACATAGAGGGTCTTGCTTAAAATATTTATGAAGTTTAAAGAGTCAGTTCAGTAATAGAAGCTAATATTGGAAAGACCTGAAATGAAGTGGCCTATAGAGGTAATTTGCTGAAATACCATCCTATAACCAAATGGTTTGCAACCTTCAGAATTTCAGGATCTTTACTAACCCTTTGGAAGACATACCAGTCCTGCATAGGACATACAATGCTTTTTTCTCATAGAAATTTCCACAGCTTAGGAAGCAGTTGCAACATGCAACTGCCCTATGAATGCCTTCCCCCACCATTACATGGTCCCATCTCCACTTTACCAAATATCCCACATACTCAACACATACTATGGAGCCCTTGCTGTGTCTAAGGCTTTTTGCTTAATGTATTAAAACTGAAAAGGGACAATCTGTTTTCAAAGAATCTCCAGTTTAAAATATTAAATGTATATGTCTTAATAAACAAATTATCCCATGAGAATCAAATATAAACTCAAGACCATATATGAAAGTCAAATAACAGCTCAAAAACACCATCGTAAATAATGAATGAATACTGATTTGAATAGAAATACATCTGATTCCTCTAGATGTACTTTGTAAATATTTTGTGAGTTTGGATGAAGAGAAAGGAAGTGAAAGGTACATTAAAGGTAAGAGAAAACTAGCTAGGTTTGAAGGCAGGAAAGCAGGTATCATTTGGTGAACATTAGACTATTGCTTTTTTAACATGCATCTGTGGAACACTAACATTTGTTGAATAGTACTCTGCTACACGGCAAAGAAGAAAAACTAATAAACCCGTACCTGACACTGAGTTCTAGCTGAGAAAAAAGACAATTAAAAAAACCCTATAATATGATGTGATCAACGGTATGGGGATACATACAAAATACCTGATTAAAACAAACAAGGCGGTTTTAGAGAATATAATGCTTGAGCTTGTTTTCAGAGAAAATGAAGGATTTGGGGGAAATTTTACGAAGGCCTAGAGGTATGGAAAGTTTGAGGGAGGCTGGTTGTGAAGGAGGGAGTTAGATAAATCTGGAGAAATAGGTGAGACTACATCTGTACATTCTGGCTTGAGAAGTTGTATAGAAGACAAAGATGGAAATGAATGCCATGTTCTAAGTTATTTTTAGAGTGCCATTCGCTTAGTCACAGCAAAGGTTACGTTGAGGATGGAGGCTTTAGACTTTCCAATAAGGGAAATCAAGTTTATCCTGACGTTCTTGACTTCTGCATCTCCACCTTCTACGTTTTATGCTCTTGGCCATTTTCCACAAACTTGTCCTAGTGATTTTGATATCTCATTGTTACACACTCTCTTATTCTCTTACTCTGGCCTGCTTGAATGTTGTGTTCTTGCTGTCAGATTCAGGACGTGGTCCTTCCTGGCAACTCTTCCACACCACAGAATAGAATTGTTTGCCCCAACAAATCACTTTTTCAGTAGTCAAACTCATTTGGACTCCTGCTACTAGATGTATTATTCGCTCTCATCTTCCCTAATAAGTGCACTGAAAAAACTGAACCACCCATTTGAAACTTATCCCATAAGTAAATGGAAGAAATTAAAATTTGTGCGGAGGGCAGGAATAGGATTTTCAAAGTTGAGACTAGGGCAACAAAACTGACGGTGAAATATAGAGAGGAGACATAATTTAGCTACAAAGAAGGACACTGTGCTTTGGGAGAATAAGGTAAAGGCAGGCAAGTAACTGAATTAATTGAAAGAATAAAATCTATACATTTCAGAAAAGGCACATTAAGACATATCGATATGAGGTAATGGAGTGGGGGCAACATGGTCCATTCTTTTCATCAATTATTGAGGGAAGTGGGGTATTATAAACAGAAATAGAAATGTCAGATAAGGAAAGAAATTAGGGGTTAGGAATTATCTTTAGTTTTAGGAATACTGAAGTTATGATGTAGAAAACTTTTATCTGTCATTTGGAAATGAGAAACTAAATCTCAGAAGAGAAGATAGCACTAGGAAAATAAATTGGCAATCATCTATCAAAAGCCATGTTTAAGAGACAGATTGTAGAGAAAGAACCAAAGCCTTTCATGGAAATGCCCACATTTAAGAAAAGAAAAAAATAAGGGCAAGAATAAAGTTAGATCAAGAAAATATTGTAAAATGGAAGGCTAGGTAGGAGAGAGCTTTAAGAAGGCAAAGTTAGCTAACTGCGTAAGCACTTCCTATAGGTCCAGAATAATTAGAACTGAAGAAAAGCTTACGGAGCTGGTAATGACATGATCTTTTTCAGTTGAGTAGAATGGACAGACTCCTGACTGCTTGGTGATAAGGATTGAGGAAATGAATGAGTAGAAGGTGGGTACAGAACACTAATTAGAAAAATCTGATAGAGAAAAAAATGGGAGACATAGAAATTATTAGGGTAGACCAGGGAGACAAAAGAAAGCAGCATCTGCCAGCAGAACCATGGACATAAAGTCTGCTCTGTAACCTAAGCAGAGAACAATTATATTTTGACCAACTGTTTTCTTCTCTTAAGCTTCTCTCCTTATGGTTCAGAGTAACTGTACTTGAGAAGTCTTATCTTTCTATCACCATTTCTTTTAAAAATATGGAATGCTTCATGAATTTGTGCATTATCCTTGCATACGGGTCAGGCTAATCTGTGTATCATTCCAATTTTAGTACATGGGCTGCCGAAGCAAGCACTCTGTCACCATTTTTTAAATGTGATATTTGGTATCATATATTATAATAAAACCTATCCCTATAAAATTACACAGTTCAAGCTTATTTCACAAAAGAATAGGTAAAATTTGGAACATGAAGAGAGCAAAACTCTCTACCAGTGTATTGGAGTCATCTATGTGGTAGTAAAGAGGAGAATAAAAGCAAGGAATTGGGTGTTGGAAGATATCAATAATTGCTCAATCTGGGAAGACTTGTCTTTAATTCAAGGGAAATCTGATGAATGAAAATAAATCAGTAAGAATTACAGAAATACTTAGACAAGTGATGCTTGGGAATCTTATAAAAATTACTAAAATATGCAAGTGCATGTGTTTTTCTAAAATATATTATTTAATTTTCAAGTTGTATGCTTATATGAGAAAACACAGTTAGTGCAACTAAAATATAATACTTTACACAGATTGAAGAAAATTTCTTGTAAGAAGGGAAGCTATAGTATAGTAAAAGGCAATTGGATTTCATCCTGTGTGTTAGATTTTCCCACAGCTTTTTCAAATAATTTAATCTTGTCATTTTTCTCTTTACATTGCCAAGATAAATGATGAATGATTGTTTTTTTGCACGAACTCTATGACAAAATTAAAAATCTACACATTCACTGAATCATACTCTTGACAATTACTTAATTATTGTTATAGACATAGATAAATCCTATCTTTTGAGCCAAATGCTTAAGTCATGTAATCAATTCTTCAAATGAACTAAATAAAAAAAGAATGTATTTAAATATAAATATAACAACCTTTAGATTAATATGTAAAACATTTTAAAGAAAATATTATTGACTTTACTATGAGACAGAATGGTAATATGCGTAACTATTCAAAACTATTAAAACTCTCTTTTTCTATAAGAAGTTTGTATATTTACAGATTTCCAACTATTGACCTAGACTCAGCAATGTGACTTGTATTGGCCAAATAACTGAAAGTGGACATGTGGTGTGCCACAGGAGAGCAGAAACTTTAATACAGCTATGTAGTTGAACTTATAGTCTTCCTCTCTGCCTCACAAAACTGTTTTCATCCCAGGCCCAGGAATAAGAAGAGTAGTGGATCAGACCTCAGCAGTGACAAAATATATTTTTTGCTTTTAATGTTTGTGTTAAGCTGAAACACTGACTAAAATGGGCAGACAAGTGAAAATTATATTTCTCTCACTTGCCGAAATTTAGGTTTTACTTTTCAAAAAATGAGTAAGAAAGGAAATGTCCTAAAATTCAATTTTTGTTTTGTTTCCAGTATTTAAAGAATAGAGCATTTCTTGCATCTCTATATTAATTCATTGAAGAAACATTTAAGGAACACTTACTTGGTGCAAATGTAATACATGAGATGTGTAAAATAAACTTACATCCATGGCCTAACATTCTAAAAATATGAAAAATCCAAGTTCTAAATGGAAATATTTAAATTTCAAGTAAGAGGGTTTATAACTTTTAAAATTTAATCATAAAAATCATACACCTTCGGGGCCACGGATTAGGCAAAGAATTCTTAAACAATAAAGGTGAAGCTATAATATAAAGGGAAAAGTTGATAAATTAGACCATGTTAGAATTAACAAGGTATGAATAAGAGAATGAAAAGACAAATGACATAATGAGAGATGATATTTGCAATACATATATCTGATACCAAGATACATTGCCAGAAAATAACATATGAAAAATGGTCGGTATCACTAGTCATCAGAAAATGCAAAATGAAGTGCAATACCACTAACCATCCACTAGAATGGCTAAAATGAAAAGGAACCACAAAGTGTAGCCAAATACGAGCAACTACTGTATATGTGTGTATATACACATACACACATGTATATTACATATAACTATATAGTAAGACATAATAAGTTAAATGTTGAATTTATAATATATAATAATATCTATACATGCATTCATAAACTTCTAGGTGGAGTGTACAATCTCTTTGAAAAACTGACAGTATTTATTAAATTATCCATGTATCTTCTCATATTTATATCTTTTGATCCAGCCATTCTACTACTTGATATATATCCAGCCCCACCCAAATGCATAGGATCAAAAGATATACAAGTATGTTTACAGCAAGACCTTCCATTACGCCTTCAAACTGAAACATACACAAATGTCATTCAACTGTAGAAACAACACAAAACAATGAGAATGAACAAATTATAGCTACACCCAACTCTACATGAGTCTCACAAGCATGGTACTGTGTAAGAGATACTAAGAACAAATGAATATATACTGTATGATCAAGTTCAAAACCAGACAAAAATCAATCTATGATGTTAGAAGTCAGGATAGAGTAATCCTGGCTGTGATTTAGAAAGGGCACTAGGCAGGCCCACTGGGGGCCCGGTAGTGTTCTATTTTGTACTGTGGGTGCTTAGTACCCAGGGCTGTCCAGTTTATAAAAATGGGTCAACCTGTACACTACTACTTTTTGCACTTTTCTGCATGTATGCTAGACTTCAACACAAATATTTATCAAAAACCAAATGTGTCTCTCTCGAAATAAGAAACATAAAAAGTCATTCAAAAGCCTTTATCCTAGTCAACATAAGTTAGTTATTGGAGACCCAGGAACATGTAAGACATTTCAGAACGATTGGAAATTGTCAGGTAATAGCCATACAAAACTACTGTAAGAACAAAAAGAAAACAAGAGCTAACACATTTCAGTTGATGAAAATTCTGCCTTCCAAAATCCAAACCAAGAGAAGGAACCTGTAATACAAGTCCCTAGTATGAATGAAAAAGCTGCTAAAAATTACATAGATTTTTAAAAATCTTGTATCAGAAATTCAAAGTCTCAGAATTGACATGTAGAATATATAAAGAAATCCTACAACTCAATAAAAACCCAAGCCACCCAATGGAAAATGAGCAAAACGTCCAAACAATCACTTGACTAGAAATCCTGATATGCAAGTAACCAATGCTCACAAGAAAGATATTCAGTTTCATCATTCATCAGGGTACTGCAAATTAAAACTACAGTGAGACACATCTCTATCCTCACTAGAACAGCTAAAATTAAAAACACCAAAATCTGCGGAACACGTGATGCAATTGAAACTCTCATATATTGCTAATGTAAATGCAAAACTAAACAATCATTTTGGAAAACTGCTTGGCATTTTCTAAGTTAAACATATACCTAGTCTATCCAGTCTTTGACTCATCTTTTCATTTTCTTAATATTTTTTGATGGAGTTGAATTCACCTTTTTTTTTTTTTTTTTGAGAGAGAGTCTCAAAAAAAAAAAAGGCAATGCAATGGTGCAATCTTGGCTCACTGCAACCTCTGCCTCCCAGGTTCAAGCGATTCTCCTGCCTCAGCCTCCTGAGTAGCTGGGACTACAGGTGTGTACCACCATGCCCAGCTAATTTTTTGTATTTTTAGTAGAGACAGGATTTCACTGAGTTAGCCAGGACGGTCTCGATCTCCTGACCTCATCATGCACCAGCCTCGGCCTCCCAAAGTGCTGGGATTACAGGCATGTCCCACAGCTCCTGGCCAAATTTATAATTTTTAATCCTTAGTGCTTTGTTTGTATCTTGTCTGAGAAATCTTTACCAACACCAAGATGACCAAGATATTTTCTCATTTTTCTTCTAGAAGCTTTATAACTTCAGCTTTTATTTATTATGTCTATGAACCCCTCTCAAATTAAATTGAATGCATGATGTGAGGTAAGGGTTAAACTTTTTTTTTTTTTTACTACCACACATTATACAGTACTATTTGTTGAACAGATTATACTCTCCCCATTGAATTGCCTTAGCTCCATCAAATTTTAATTGGCATTGCAAGTCTGTCTATTTCTGATTAATTTGCCAGTACTTACACAAATATTATAAAATCTTGATTATTATGGCTTTATTTTAAATCTTAAAATGGCTAAGTCCATCAATTTTTAAATACTTTATTCAATAGTATTTTGGATATTCTAGGTCTCACACATATTCTTTCAACATGTAGAATCAAGTTGGGAATTTTACAAAAAAGCTTGCTGGAATTTTGATTGGAATTACATTAAATGAATAAATTGACTTGAGGAAAATGGTTCTTTTAACAACATTTTGTTTTTCATCCACAAATATGATAAATCTTCATTTATTTAGGTTTACATTGATTTATCTAAGTTATGGTTTATAGCTTTGCCTATACAAATCTTTTCCTATATTTTGTTAAATTTAAGTGCTGTATTTTGAATGTTCTTTTAAATCCAACTGTATTTTAAAAAATTGTTTATTGATAGTATATTTGATTAATTTTACTTATGTTAACATTGTATTCTGCAATCTAAGTTCATTTATTAGTTCTAATACTTTTTCAAAGATTGTTTAAGGCATAAACATATAAAATTGTGTCAATGACAAATAAATACATTTTCTTTTCCTTTTCAATATTTATGAATTTTATGTTATTGGATTGTTTTAGCAGTGGCTAAAACTACCGATAAAATTTGAATCAAAACTTGATCCCTATATTAAAAACAAAACATGTACTATTTCACTGTTATATGATATTATACGTATATATTATATGCTATTATATATAAGCTGTGGAATATTTGTAGTGGTCCTTCACCCTCCTATTCTTAGTTTGCTGAAAGTTTTCATTACGAGTACATGTAAAATTTTGTGAAATTTTTTCAACTCTATTGAGATGATATGGTATTTTGCTATGCTAGTTTCCTCTGTTAATGTGATAAATCATATTGATAGATTTTTTAAATTAATCCAAAATACTTTTCCCTCTTCCTCTCCTTTCCTCTCTCCCCCTCCCTCTCTCCCCTTACCACCCTTCGCTCCCCAACACCCATCATTCTTGCAAACCAATTTTAGGCTTTGCTTTCTGTTTCTATTTCATTGATACCCAATCTTGTCTTAATATTTTAAGATTTCTTATCACTTTGGGTTTAGTTTGTTCTTTTTTGCCTGTTTTAATCAGAAGCTTA